AAAACACACAGTTTAACATTAGAGTTGCATTTCATCCGGTGGCACAGCAAAGCAAACATCATACTTTCATTTGTTTACCATAAGAAAGCAAAATTTATGTTCAGCTTAACTACATTAATTACATAATCACCATTAACAATAAGTTAATAAATTGAACCCAGATTAACTCAGAAAAAACGATAAAACTAGTAGTAAAAAAGACTTGTCTACATGCACCTAATTCTACTTTGCCCCAAAAATAACACTCTCGCTGCCCAGAGCAGCAGCTCCCACAGCCAACAGTGGAGCAAATCTCAAAAGAGATGCAGATTTCAATGCCTTGCTGCAAAGGAAGGGTAATAATATGTAAAGTGTCAAAAAAATATGATAGCGTAAAAATTTTACTATAATGATTGATGCTGTAGTTCACGCTACTCATCAAGGACTATAGATCAAAATAAAAAAATTAAAAAAAAAAAGTAACCAGAAAAAAGTTGCCAGCGCTTATGGTGAAAACGTCAGAAACTAGAGATCCAGATCGAGTCTCGCATGGAAATGCAGTCACTGCTAAGATACTGGAAGACAAACAAGTTAAATCTAAGCATACGGGTAACAAAACTTTATAGTTGGATTGTTTAATTAAAGGCGCCGTTGTATATTTACCAACTGCAAAACATACACAGTTTTCCTTATTGTTTCTGCTAACAACTCTACTTTTTGGCCTCCCGTTAATCAATTGCATAGGCAATGTCAAGTGCTTTCACAAATTATCATCACATTCCTCCAATTTGGCTGCTACATCATTATTGTGCTTCTCCAAGTTTTGAGGAATTTTCTGTAGTGCAAAATGGCAACAATTGCAAAAGTGGAAAATTTTGGAATCAATGTATAATTGTGATACTTTCTTATGGCATTTTAAAACGACATTGTAAATTAGGTAGACAGATCGCTATGGAATTTCTCAATTAACAGTTTATTTAAATTCATACCCTCTTAAAAAAGTCCAAAACAGAGTTTCCATAATCTTTTTGGCTGGCATGTTGGAGCGGGTTATTTGCTTATATAGCAAGTTGAATGAATGATTCTGTTCCTTCTCGGTTACACTAGTTTCTTTAAGCGGCAATATTAGAAAGTGTGACTAAGAAACTAAATAGAGGCGGTCTCAAAAGCCTTGCCAAAATGATCCAGTGAGCCATTTATTGGAGGAAGAAGCCATTCTTGTCCATCTATGTAGGTGACATCCAAAAAAGCTGCCGCCTCGGACTGCTTCAGCTGCTTTCCGTACGACACCCTGAACGTGTAATTAGCTCCCGGTCCAAAGCACCCATATTCTCCAAAGAACACCGTCCTACAAAATTTTGGTATTGATAGGTTTTAATGCGGTAACTAACAAGAACAAAAGAAATTAAAATGGAAGACTACAATCTGTAAATCCTTCTTTTAGAACTAATTGAAACCTTTAAAGCAGGCGACGATCTATTGATTCTTCTCCTTTGTTTTCTTAGGAAAATTGCAATTAACATCGAGTGGTCAAAACCTTGGCAGTCCTATGCAAAAACTACACAACTCGGTCCAAAATTTTTAAGACATTATACGAATCAGGTTGGAATTTGGTGGAGAAGTTTTCCAAGTATTCGATGTAATTTTCGTTTCGGGTTACTTAATTTGGGGTGAGATCAGCTACCAATATATTATTAAAGATAAAAAGTAGGATCAACCACAGACTGGTCTCTAGAGGGATCTCTCCAATCATTCCAACCATCTGAAGAGACAACATCCGACATGTATGTCTTTGAGAAAACTACTGTAGCAAACGATCCCCAAGCTCGCCCCAGCCACACTTTACCACTGCCTTCAACATTGCAATTCACGAAAGAGAAGCCCGAATTGTCGCTTGTTGAGTCCCTCCCCTGCGCTGTGATGGCTCCACTAATACCACTTGAAACTTCTTTTGCTACTGAATTTATCACGCAATCCTGCCACACCAATTTTGCCAAGATATAATATAACCATCATAATTGCTATTTATCCGTAGTTTGTAAAGTTGTAATTTGTAAACTGTAATGCACATTTGTTAAAGAGGCAATTCGGAGATGGCAAGGACGCGTGGTGATTTAATTGTCTGTATCTTCTTACAAGATTCAATTATTAATGCACATAGCACAAATATTTAAAGGATTGAAACTGAGTTCATACAGGAATTTTCCTTCCGGTATAATTCAGAGAGTTGATTTATAAGATGAGGTGAAAAAATTCGTGAGATAGTGATTTGCATGCAAATTGTCATCGTACAAGGTGATGTGACGCGATCTTAAACGCATGCATCATTTATATGTATCCATCTTTTCTATTTTCTTGTTACCCTAATCAACTTACAGGCAGTTCTGTCAAACGAGAGGTAGTCTCGTGCATGTATACCTCGTAAAGTGATCTTCCATTTCCAAAAATGAAATCGATGGACCCTTGGATGAAGCATTCTTTGAAATAATGCCTCCCTCTATCGTCATTAAGGGTATCTTGTGCCCCATAAAATCCACACCCAAAAAATGCAGCTTTGTCACCTGAAATCCTCAGTGCCACAGCCTGTGCTCCAACTACACCTGGGGAAGGAGGAGGAGCCGTGTTCTTTCCAAGACCCCCAAAAGAAAAAAAAAGTATTAACCAAATTTGAAGAAGAATGGTTGATTTAGTATTTTTCTGGGATGATGGTTACCTGAAAACTGATATTATAAGCTACGAAGTTGGTGGATGAAATGGCAATTGTAGAGCTGAATGCAGTTCCTCCAGTCGAATTAGCAGTGTCATTCCAAGCTATAGTCGTGTTCAAATAACCCTGACCTTGTATCATTAAGTTCGTCTTATTTGCACTAACCATCACTTTCTCCCTGCTTCCATATTTGCATCCATGTGAAAAAAAAGGCTTAACTACATGGTTAAAAGGTAAAATACTAAAAAAAAAATTTCTACCAAATTTCTTTGGTCTGGAACCAATATTCAACAAGAGTTGAATTTTTGATCTTTTACTGGGCCATAGACTCGCATCTTATATATATATATATATATATATATATATATAAAAGAGTACAAAATGCTGCAAAAACATTTGCCTGTGACTTTTGACACTTGAGAATTGAGATTAGTTAAATTACCTGTACGTGCCTGAATCAACTATGATAAGTGTCCTGCCCAAGCTAAAATCAGGAACAGCATCCACTGCCTTCTGTACACTGCTGAAATTCGCACATCCCTTTGAATCTACTGTGAGGACGAGTGAAACCCCATAAGTAGCAATGAGCTTAGACTTCCATGCTGAGTCATCGCAAGAGTTCTTACTTTTCTTCCTCCTCCTGTGACTGTGATGGTGTCTGGACCTTCTACGTGCAAGTTCTTGAATAATGTCCATGAAGTCCTCGGACCCGCTTTTCTTGATCATCCTTTGTACAAAAGTAAGTTTTAACCTACTAGTATCATCGTTAAAAGAAGTGACGGTATTAATTGAAGAGTGATGGGCGGGATAGAGAGAAACAATAATGGAAACAAGCAGAATGAGAAAGGAGGCTAGCCCCAATAAGGCTGTTGTTCTAGCAGTCATGCTTTAGTTGCTGTTGTTGGGCACTCGGGCTAGTATTTTTCACGTTTGGTAATGAGATTAGTGAAGAGAAAGTATGAAGTAGCAGGCAAATTTATTAGTGCTAATGAGGAATACATGGATTGACGTGGGAGGTAAGAAAAGTAGTCCATGGATGTACAACATTTGCTCGTGATAGTGAAATGTGATTGTGCGTAAGGGGAAATGATGACCCTTTTTCTTCCTGTCTTTTTTTCCTGTCAGAAACTGCAAGTGACAATAAAAGAGAAGGAAGATACGGGCAACAAATGCGTTGAGATTGGATGATGCACACGCTATCCCTAAGCCATTCTCTCTCTGTTAGAGATTTGGTACTTGGCATCTCTTCGCGTCATGATAAAAGCAAATGTGCTAGTAATCTGAATGACCCCTTTGAATTATCTGGGGATGGCCGGTGGAATCGGCTGTCCATGAATCATTGCATGCTCTCATTTAGATGATGGCGGTAACTTACCTTCTAGATTTGACGACAAGTACTGCGTTTAATAAACTCGAGATCTCAATCATCACCTTTGAGTGACCTAATTGTGCTAGTAAAAAGTTTTAGCCCTGATCAAGAAGATTTTCCTAGACATGTTCTTCAGTTTTGGGGTAAGAAGCGCATGGCAGAAAGATGTAAGAGACAGTATTTCTTACTGTCCTTTCTCCTGTGGGTTCTGATACTGTAGGATTACTAATAATGAGCTTCTCCCTTCCTTCAGCGTGTCATATATCAACTATACCTACGAGACGACAACCTTCTTGAACTTCTTCTTCCTTTTTTTCATTTTATCCCCCAACCTTCTTGAATTCATGTGGCTTTATTTCCCTTAGATCTCCCACCAAATTTCTATTCTCTCCCAGATTAATGTTCTTCATTCTCTTCGTGGTTCTGGATTCTAGATTCAGTCACTTCTCAAACCAAATGAACCATATACAAACTCAAAAGGGGTTTTTTCTTTTGCGTGGAGAAGAGAGAAACTTGAGTCGTTCCGATGGAACTTGGCGATTACTTCAAATGGCCTGAGAGCTCGTCGCGTGAAAATATATACTCCGTAACATATAATGTAAAGCTAGTACAACATTTATTTTTTCTTTCAATTCGCCCAAAATCCCATCACGGACGTCTCCCTTTCTTTGATAACTTATGAACATCCTGGCCACAACTTTTAGATCGAAATACTAACTCTGAATTGCCACGAAAAGACAATCGCCTCCATGTTTGTCATGTTCCACTTTTTAACCTTTCGCTTTCCTTCGGATGAAAGGATTAGCGCAGGATAATTCGTCAGGCACTTAAAAAGGTACTACTACTTTACATGGCAGGGGGCATCCTCCTTTGAAGTGCAGACATGAAGACCTAGAATGCGTATAGGGTCTATACGCACGGCTAAGACAGAGACCAAGAGGAAAGAGTATTAATCAATTACCTTTACATAATACTACTAGGCAACGCAATAAAGCTTATACACATGCACGATCCTAGTTAGAAAGTCATGCTTCCGCCAATCCCACCAGCAGAGAAAAAAATAAATCAATTATCAGAGCTGAGGGGACACAATTGGCATGGAGGAACTGCGGCTGAGTTCTTTTCCTTCTCTATTATCTAAATTATCTACAAGCAACAAAATTCCACTCCATGCAGGGAAAAATATTCCCACCAGCTGGTCTTTGCTAAAAATCAATTTACTACGATTCAAAAATCCAACCATTTTCAGTCTATCCCAGTTACCGAAGCCCAAACAAGCACATATTTCAACTCCTGCTGCATCTTATCTGCAGTACAAGCTCTGTCAAATGCTGAAGATGATCCATTTTGATGAATCAATGTATGGGAACATCAGAAACGGTATTAGCTTGACCATCTTGATGCTTGATCCGGCATTTGGGAACCATTTTTTCCAGCATAGAAGTCCCTTTGAAACTCATCATTTGCCAACAGGTCTTCTTGTAATTAACAAGCTGCAAACAAATAACTGTCAAGACACTTGAAGAATAACCACCAACAGCCTCATGTTACCAAAAACTGACCTGATCATGTGAAATCTTTTTAAAACCAAACTTTTCAGTCCATATTGATTCTGCTTCATCAGCAGCTGGAAGCACTAAACTTCTGATCTTCAGAAATGCCATCAATTTCTCGATACAGGAAAACAGTAGTTGAAAGTATCCCTGTGTTGGTACTTCAGCATTAACAACAGTAATATATTTCACTAGGAAAGCAAGAGATGATCAACAAAATTACAGCAACTTGAATCAACTGAATAAATTCCTAACATAATTAAACTTCAGAGCCACAGCACATTCAACTCTGCCCAGCTCCAGTGCCCTAGGATAATTTCCACAATAATATGATTATGAGATGATCAAAGCCTAGGAGCATGTGAAAGATAATTAGATGAAATGAAATTTATGTCCCCAATGAGGCCAGAAAACTTGCTTCTTGACAATTAAAATATCCCGGGGATCAGTACAATGATACCATTATAAGCATATCAATCAGCAGCAAATTGAACCACTGGCATTAGAAAGCACCTTGAGCTGTCAGTCAGTTATATCTTAGAAACATGAAAATCTTAATCACTTTCACACACACACACACACACTACACACACATGTAACCAATAGCTATGCATGTATGCACATGTAAAGTATCAGTCCTACAGTGAGCCAAGCAGAGTCATCATTGACTTTGCCTACTGTGTCACCTAGAGCTCAAAATACAAATAAGATCAAGCTCAACTAATTTAGGCCAAGTTCATGTTCAAGGTCTACAGTGTTCAACTCCACTAATTTGATTTAACTTAGTAGCAAGGACATTTACTTCCTGGCTCACACGGTAAATCAGAAGGATGATACATTTCAACGCATGATGATCTCACCTTGCCTTGATGGCAACTTTTAGTTGCAACTAGAGGGAGTTCTGCTATATCCTGCCCGAAAATCCGGAAGATCGCAGCTGAGACAACCTTTGAGCTGCATGATCAGAAAGAACTTGTTAACTGCCGAACGAGGCAACTACAATTACATGAGAAAGCTATGAAGAGAAAAGTCTGGTGATTTACTTGACTGTCAATATTGCACAGTACATTCCGCTAAAATCATGGCCCCGAATGTTCCTTCTGCAATAGAATGAGCGCACATGAGAGCAGAAACTAGTGATGCCTCTTTAAGGACAAACCACCACCATCCTTACCCATAAACCATAGATGGAATAAAGTCACGCCCAGTTACTGAGTCAACAATAGGGTCAAAGCAATCCTGTGACATGAAGCAGTGAACAAACATGTTGATGCAACCTTCTTAAAAGTACAAGCAGTAAAGCAACACAGACCTCATCAGGAAGAAAATAAGTATTTCAAACAGTTATTTGCATGAAGCATAGAACAACCCTTTGCAGTAAATACTGAAGCCACTAAATTGAAAGAAATTCATGCACATTCCCTTACAGGCATTTTCTTTGATTGCTACAGAAGACAAAATGCAGCAGTGACCTATCAGACTGTTGAAATATTAAAGAACTAAATTTCGTGTAAATAACTTTTCAAACTGAACATAGTTTCTTTCTAAGTCTTGTTTACTTGCTCATTCCCCTTATAAATTGTGAGTAAACATTTCTAATCAAAAGTATGTCCAATTCGCATAGTGTAGTCTCCTATCTTATTCTGCAATTGAACTGGTTAAGAAATGGATATCTGAAGTTCAGTCGGCCGCCTCTTCAGCACCCCAACCCCCACCCCCACCCCCACAAAATAAAAAATGGAAACTAAAATTTTGCTTAACAGTGCAAGGAAACAAATTATTAACCCTAAAATTGTAATAGAAGAAGATCTAGGAACAAAAACAAGATACAGTCCTTGATAAATGTCTCAATAATCATAATGGAGTCCTAAGCAATCTTTACATATCCACTTACATAAATAGGCTTTATAAAAAGTCATTTGCATAAATAGAAGACACCTAACCAAAAAAAGCTACTATATACTCACATGAAAAATTCCAACAGCGTCAGACAGTAATGGTTTAGTTTCCCGATTGACATTTTTGGCATTGAGAAGCCTCCAACTCACATCAAAAGCAGTAGTGACATCAGAGCCATCTAGCATGTGCTTCTTCCTTATGACATCCAAACAAGACTCTGGTATTTTCTCTGATCCAGAACTTACCAAGTTAGTTAATGCCAAATAGATCCTCTTGCAATCCCCAGAACAGAACCATTTCCCTTTGGGTAATTCCTGTTGTACAAGTTGGCAGAATTTTGACCCAAACAAACTTAAAACTCAAACAGAAAAAACTGAGCAAATTAATTATTAAATCGCAAAAGATGCACCTTTAAATCCGCCATCTTCTGTTTCTTCAAGCAGCCAACATGATATTCCTTCTCACACTACAATTAGACCAAGTGAAACCGGTGTTTTACAAAAAATCACTTGATTTTCTAGGACTGACTGAGGATAGTATCAGGAGAATACCTGATCACATAGTATGACAGTACGAGGACCAAAACCAGACTTGCTGAAATCATAACCTCTGCACAAAGATTTGACAATCAAAAGAAAATTACATGAATAGATGATTGTAGAGCCTCAGGGGGTGTACTGATGTACTATGCCATCAAGTCTCTGTGAATCAGCTAGCTTCAGCAATGATGTCTAAATACTTAGAAATAGCCTACCTGCATATCACGCATGCAATAACTTCAGCATCTTCTGGGTTTTTGACAATGCGAATGCAGCGGTTTGTAATCTGTTCTATGGGGTCAATTCCAGGAATCCTTCCAGCTGCTACAGCGTTGGCATTGTGCTCCACAAATCTCTCCCTCTGAAACATGTTCTGGCAATAGTTGCAGAACCATTTACCACGAGGAATTGATGGCAAGGAAGCACACGCTGCATATCCACGTCAAATTAACTTAGAAAGAAATTCACCGGTACAACTAATTGAGAAGAGAATAGGTTCCAAGAAGAAAAAGCACCAAAAAGTTTCCTCAAAGCATGAATCAAAACTTTCACATTCCACATTAACATAAGCTAATTCAAACTTAAGGAAATAGAAAGAGAATTTTGATCGAGGCCAGGACAAGTTTGAGACAGGTACTTAAAAGAACTGAAGCAATTCATTGAATATCATACTTGGTCTGTCAAAAGAATATTTGCACTGATGACGTGCACATGCATAATCCATGTCTGAGTAGATCGAACAGAAGACCTTTTACAACACAAGACCAATTCTGAAGTATGGTGGGAACTCAAATTGGTATGTTAATATAAAACCAGTTGTTAAAAGTCAACTTTTCTATCTGAAAAGTTAATATTTTTTCTTATGAGAAGTAGGATGGGTAGGACAATGTCCTAATAAACACTATCCGACAAAGACAAAAAGGCATCCGACAAAGACAAAAAGGCATCTGTAGTTATTGAAATGGCCCATTTGACTACAAGAATTACATGAAGAAGTAAATTTATTTGCATTTGAAAGAAAAAATCTCTGAAAATGTTTCTGCAGGGAAATAAAAAACTACAGAAGACCTCTATGGCAAGAATAATGCATATGAACTTCCGCCCACTTTATCTTAGAAGCCTATTATATTTAGTTTGAAAATATTAACACCCTTTTAGGACAAAAACACTCTTGCGGCGTCACCAATAAATGCAGTGCCAACCATATTCCATCATTATAGCAGCTGGCAGCAACAGGTGACAGAAATTAACATCATTATTAGATCCAGTTACAAAGTTGGCAGTACACGCACAAGAATCATTTGATTACAAAAGGTTTATTTATAAAAAAAATAATAGTTAATCCAAGCAACTTGTATATGGCATATTCATAAGATCAATTTGTACAGGGTTCCTCATCCATTTCTATTTCTCTGGCCAGCTCTCCCACCCCTTCCTAAGCCACTGATGCAAAAAAAACTGAAATGTCAAAAAGTAGATTGAAGACATCAGAAACCAATCCATTTGGAATGTGAAATTTCTTGTGTAGAAAATTCATAGCCAAAGGTCAAATAATGTAGAAATCTATGCCCAAGCCAATTTACCTTTATGAAATGCCCTTGGGCATCCATCACAAAGTACAAGCTTTCCACCATCAGCACAGATGGTGCATAAATCATCATTGTCACTAGCAGTACACTTGCGACCTCTCAGCAACTTTACCGCAAGCTCATGAAGAGATACTCCATTAGATGTGTAAATGTATCCATAGCTACAGAACATCCAATAGAACTGAGAATTTGGACAAATAAGGACTAAAATAAAGGGTAATGCAATAGTAGAGAGCAGATAATAACAAGAAAAGAACTTACGGTTTTTTCCTCGATGCCCAACCAGCATGAGCTTCAAATGTTGATGGACTGACCTGCTCAAGGTTGAAAGGAAGATCAACACATCGGTGCAAGAGGAGATCCATATGTACAGGAAAAATCACCATACCTCAAACTTGCAGCAATTACAGACAATTCCTAGTCCTTTTTTATAGCCTGTGAGTAGTTCCTGTTCATGCAAAAGGTAGAACATTGCAGGATCAATATATTAAACACACCTCAGCAAGTGCAATATTTATTTCCATCACCTGTCCTCGGGAATAATAACTTAGTACAGCTCCGTCAGGCAATCCACCTTCCTCAAAAACCAGCCTATGCATCCTTTGATCTCTATTTAAAAAAACATTATAGTTGTTAGTTTTCTTATAATAAGAAGGCATAACAAAACAATAACCAATTAAGCAAAAAGAAGTCGAGACAAACTTTTTGGTTATCTTCCATTGGCTCTTGGATTGCGGAGAGACAAATGCCAAAGCACTTCTAGAGGATTTCGGAGATTCAGCCGGGCTCAATGAGCTACAAACAGGTGAATAAGCAGGAAGATAAAAATATGCACTCACTATACGTAATTAAAGAACTTGCATGGGGAAATTAAAAAACAACCTTTTTAAGATCTTTGCCTCAGTTTCAGTTTCTAATGAGTTGCCCATTGCAGCACTTCCAATTGACTTCCTCCCAGAAGTAGGATTAGTTAACCTAAATAGTCCAAATGGAGACATTTCAGCAGAGCACGAACAATTTTTAGGTTGAAACCATGGCTTTTCAATCCGGAAATAGAGGGGGGAAAGTACAGAAGCAAAGCAGAATAACCCACTTCTTAGTTATCTTCAACTGGCAGTTCTTTTTGGATGATACGTATCCAGAAGACTTAGGTGATGTCTTCTTCTCAGTAGCCATTTCTGAGAACCTAAAATTTAACACATGCTATAGAATTAGGGATGTTCCTAACAGACAGAAAAATAATCTTATCAGAGCAGTTCAAAAAAGCAAGTCAAAAGCTGCCAACTTTCTCTTTTTCCTCCCTCGCCGATTACTTGGAGAAGCAGTTTGCCCACCAACACTTTCAGACGCTTTTAATCTCACAACTGGATCTGATTTCCTGAAATAACACAAGAGTGTAACTAGTTGTCTCCCTTAAAGCAGGAACATATTCGGTAAGCAATAAGCAGCATAAGAATTTTGAAGACGGAGTTAATATGCTACATAACTGTGGGGAAACTCATTTCGTTGTCTCTTTTTCTTGCATCACAACTGTAGAGAAACTCATTTTATTTTCTCTCTTTCTTTTTCTTCTTTTCTGTTACCGTTATTTCTCTTGCATCAAGTAAAGAAGTTGAACAGCTGGCTAATGAAACTTATTGTCCAAGATAGCATACCTGATTCTCTCATATGGAGTGTGCATCCTACTGTCTACCGATCTTATAGATATGATGCAGGAATCACAGAGCTGATCCACCTTAGCAGCAGAAGTTGCAAGAAACAGCCCTTTAAATCAAAGAAACAAACCTTATTCAGATTACAATTTAGCAAGACAAACTCAAAATTTTCAGTGAAATTAGCTTACTCTTGCAATTCTGACAACTTATAGACTCCTTCACAGGCAGCGGACCTATGATGCTTTGGATTATTTCCTCCACTCCCTTCAAAGAAGATCTCCTGCACTCCTTCACCACATCAAGGAGGCTTTTCCCGTTCTCAAGGCAGATGTACTGTGTTGCGCGTCTATACGATCTACACGCATGGATTTCAAATTTACAGGGCGGTACTACCTAGAAATGCAGGAGATAGCTATAAGTATTAACATTTCGAAGCTCAACCTGGAAAAACCACATTCCGATAATCAAAAAAATGGAGTAATGGGCTAAATACTTACTGTTACTCCCTTGCACAAACTACAAGAACACAAAATCCCCCAGTCCTTAATGGTGCCCCGCAGAGGTATACCCTACATTGCAATAACAATTTAGTTGTACGAAGAAAAACACACGCTTATCAACTTCAAACATCGCCAAGCATTCCTATGCTAGCAAGCTTCAATAAGCATCTTATAAGTCACAGATACGAGCAATCTCCGGTAACATTTGTCCTCGCAAAAATTACTCAAATTTAGAAAACATTCATTCCAACCACAGTCGGACCATAAATGGCAATTTCAATACTCTTTTTAACTTATTGGGAAAAAATGGTTAAGGGGGGGAAAAAAAGGGAAAACAGTGGTGTCAGCATCATACCTTCTTGCCACCATTATAGAAAACCGGATATCCTTCAAGCAGACCTGTCTCGAATAGCTCCCTCACTGTGGTAGGCCTCCCTTTGATTTCAATCTTTTTGGACGTCAGCTTACCGACGACATCTACAGTCCCATTCTCGTCAGATTCTGACTCCAAAACCAAGGCGTCCTTAAACCCTTGCGAGTCCCCATTAGCCATCCCCTTATCCTCCATCTCGACCTCTACAACCGTAGCTTTTAATGCCGATCGGGTGAACCGCCTAGCGTTACCATTGCTGCTTAAGTCGAACGACGCAATTGGCCCTTGTCGAACCTCAACCTCGACCATCTCGTCGTAATCCTTGGCCACCTCGGTCTCAGCCTCCGCCGCTTCAATCACCGAATTGGGTTCAGTGGTAACCATAACTCCGCCCTGCGATTGATCGCCGCCGTCAATTTGAAATTCAGTAAGCGAATCTGCCGAAGCTAGGGCTCCGCGAGGAGAATTATTAGCGGCGTCAGCTTTGTGCTTTTTGCTTCTCTTATAGAAGACTCGGACGGCAGCCCGGGGAGAGGAAGAGGGAGAGGGAGATTTGGGTTCGGGAATGGAGGGGTTGGGATGAATAGGGAGGTCCAGCGGTTGATGCGACTGTTGGTTTTGGGGCAGAGATTTGGATCTCCGCGTCCGACCTAGAGGTTCAGTCAACTGGGACTGAGCCTCCATTGCATAGGCGAGCTCTCGTTTCATGGTTGTGTGTTGTTGAGTTCAAATGATTGAACGCAACAACACCAATGAATCTGTTTAACTATCGGCGTCAGTGTGTGAGTGTGTGTGGGAAATAGGCCTGTGCATGTAGCTTGAGGAGTGTGAATTTGGGTGGGGGCCCGGAGGGAGGGAGGGAGGAGGCAGGTGGAGGGAGGGCTTAGGGGGTAACCGAGTCCCAGTCCCTGTCCCAGTAGGCAGTCGTCTAGAGGGGAGGAATCAGGAGTGCGTGTGTGTGTGTGTTGCGGAGTTTTTTAGAGTACATCGAATCGATGACGAGAGAGGGAAGGGGCAGTGATGTGAACAAGGGTAAAATCCAGTAAACTCTGACGTTTGAAAGTGTGTACTGGCAGTCTATCTCTATCCTTCTCTACGCTTTCTAACCCTTTTTGGCGCAAGCCAAGGAAGGATGCGTACAATTAATTAATCTGGGCATTCTTCCGTTTTACCCTTTCTTTTATTGACGACATACATTTTTTTTTTTAGCAGGGTCGAATTTAATAGGGGCGTCGAACCTCAAAAATCTTAGGATGTGTTTGGATTGCATTTTTCGTCATTTTTCATGGAAAAATTACTGTAGTGATTTGATATATGTAAGGGAAAAAGATGATAGGAAAATGTGATCACGGAAAACGACAATATTTTCTGACGGAAACAAGCAATCCAAACAAGGCCTCAGAACCCGTATGGATTGTTTATCTTTTGAATTTTTGTAGAAAAATATATTATAATAATTTAATATATACGATGTAAAAAAATAATTGAAAAACGTGTCAAAAAAGACGTGAAAATTTTTGGACGAAAAATTGCAATACAAATAAGGCCTTAATTTCTAGAATGTTGACATTAATCGCTAGATTAAAACCTTCTAGATAGATGCCTACCATTTTACTTGTGAAGTACAAGTATAATTAAAATAGTTAACAATTCAACATCTACAAAAACGAGCGCACAGTAGTACCTTTGAAATAAATTTCTATCATTCACATGATTTTCCAACATCATGCCCTATGCCAACGAGGGAAAAAAAAAAGAAAAAGTGCAGTAATTCTGGACTAATATATATCTTTGCATTGCGAATTGTGATACTCGCCAGCTGATTATCATCAACAACATAGTTCATCATATAGAAGATGACCATCGCGGCAAGCCCTGCCAAAGCTCAAATTAGGCCTTAGGGGCTGGTTGAGTTGAGATTGAGCTTCCCAGTTCCATCCAAAGTTCTCGATGGTACGTGTTTGTATGAGGTGTATTTTTTGTGGTGGTTAACTGGAACTGATGCTGCTATTTATTAGACTTCTCTTTTCAGAAATAAAACGTACATTATCTCTAGAAAAAGAGAAAAAAAAAACTAAAACTTTTTACGTGACGATGATGCACATTAATCGATAACTGTTGTTATTGTTCTCGATGAATATATTTCTTTGGTACCTCTTTATCAAGATGTAGAGATCAACTGCTTTTGGCATCGTGAAAAAGAATTACGTGACGAGTGTTTTTCCTGGCCAAATGCCTACTACCGATTTAATCAAAGTGGGTATGGAGTGCATGGCACTTGTCGAAACATGCATTACCGTCATGGAATTAAGAAAGTATAACAACATTTGATTTCGGCATAATCCGCCTAGCCATTCAGATTATCATTTTCCTGCAGCCAAGCATATGACGAGCACCGATCAAGATACGAAAGCATAGAAGTTGCCTCGTACGGTGATATATCGTGCTATATTAAGAACAGAAATATAGATCGACTCTAGGTAAGTGCGGATCAAGATACGAAAGGATAGAAGTTACCTCATATGATATGACGATATATCGTACTATATTAAAAACAGAAATACAAGTAAGTACCGATCAAGATGCCAAAGGATAGAAGTTGCCCTATACGATGGATGACATACGGTGCTATAATAAGTAACAGATCCAGCAGAAGAAAACAACATTTGATTTAAGCATCATCTGCCTAGCCCTTGAGATTATTATTTTCCTAATATAGGCGACTCTAGGTAAGCACCGATCAACATGCCAAAGGATCGAAGTTGCCCTATGGTGCTGATACACCATATCATATCAAGAACAGAAATCACTCTTCTGATGGCAATTTCTCGTCTCTTGTTACTTGTTATTGTGGCAAGAACTGCTCAAGATGCTAAAGGATAGACGTTACCCTGTATGGTGGTATATCAATAATAATAAAAAACAAAAACAAAAACCACTCATCTCTTGTTATTACTCTGAGAATTACTTGGAAGGTGAGCGTACACATATCCGCAGCTGAAGTAGGCTTTCCCCAGCTGCTGGCGGGGACCATCGATCACCACGGGAGGAGACGCTCAGCCACCCTTGCCACCGGATTGATCAGACTCGGGATCATTGCCATTACACTGGCAAGGGCAGCGGAGAAGCAAAAACGAGTGCACTCCTCACATGTGTGAGCGTGACGACAAGGAGAGGGTTTGATCAAGGAGGAGGGCTGGGGTTTTATAAGGATGTCGTTGGTCATGCGAGCAATAAAAGGGTGAGGTGACTTAAGTAGGGGTGTGACTTTTGGGATGCTAAAGCTAAGCATATCAATACAAAATTAGAAAAGGAGTGAAAAAAGAGGTTTCATATCAGGATCTTCCAAGGCATATGCCATTAGCACCTTCTCAAGTCCAATCCACATCACTCATCACGGTAGTAGTTGTACTACTACTACTACTCCCGCTTTTTGGCTCATCTTTGCTTTTCCTTTTGGTTCTAGTAGATCCTTGTACATGGATGGATGGATGGGTGGGTGTCATATGCTCCTCCTTTTCATTGCAGGTTGATGAGTTATTTATTGGACGTTACTTTTGGTTATATAAATCTTGGGAGTGATTAGAGAACTTTCACAATTAGACACGAGAAAAAAGAAAACGAAAATACAAGATGAAATCAGCAGGTGGTTGCAACTTTTGGGCCAAACTTATTAAATTCCAGTTTTAGGCCTAGAATTTTTCCCGAAAAGAAACATGCAAATGCATCTCGTTCCCTAAAGGAAAAGAAGAAGACAGAGAGAGGAATCGGCATCTCGAGTTGAGTTCCACTGAATGATAAGAAGATCTCAGTGCTGCTAAACAAAAGTTGGATATTTTTGCATCTAACAAAAAGGCTGAAACTTGTAATTAGGTCAACTATACACGCAGCAGCAAGCATTTTGAAAAAACAAGTTTGATGAGATTCGTGGAAAGTAAGTGTAGAATCATATTTAAATTTGATTCCGAGCCAGCCAATGTGCTAAGTGCTCCCTGACGTATTATTGCCTTCCATCAACACCACACCTTTCATCCAAACAAAGATTTTCTCCACTTTCGAAGCAGTAAATAACCTTTGTTAGATTTACTTTCGAAGCAGTAAATGAATCGCTTTAAGCATCAAGAATAACCATACAATACAAGTACTGTCACTCGTGCCTCCAAATGAGCAGTTATGATCATTCAACAACAAGCTAAGCTGGATGTTGTGATTGTCTCGAGTCAGAGATGGCTTAACTATACCGTTATGTACAAAACCCACTCCCCTTTGATCACTTATTATTCCCAATCCTCCCTTTTCGACTGCTAATTGAGTGCCCCCCCCCCCGGGGGGTTACAATTACTTGATCTAAGTATCTATGTATACCTTTCTTGATAAAAAAAAAATGAAGAATGTACGGCAAAAATAGCTTCATCTGGCCGACTTGGTAACACATGCATTCAAGAGAACCACCTCTTTCCACTTTTGGCTGCCTTTAGCTTCATCACAAGATCCTCCCGCTGGGCTTCCACTTCGGCATATTTCAGGCTCATTTCCAAATACCGCTCGCGAAGGTCTCTTAGCTCCGTCTCTAGTGATGACTTTGTTCGTTCAAATCTCTCTCTTGCCTCTGCTTGACTCTCTACCACTGATATCTTCGAGCAGGCCATCGTTTCGCTGCTTAGCTCCTCTGATGAAAAGCTGAAGGTGGTCTCAGCAAGAACGCGAGTTAGAATATTTATGTATTTTGTGTAGAAAAAAGAACAAAAAAAAAAAAAAGAAAAAGGAGCTAATGCTTCATATATATGGATCCTATTATGGCTATCTACTTCCTTTCTAGATCACTCAAGTTTATATTAAGGGAATTAGTTCTCGAGATCTTTGTTCACGAACCTATGCAGCTGAATTTTGTGCATGTTATCCTCATCCAGTGCCTCAGCGAGCTCGTCAGCAACTTCACCTGGACGAGGACTTCCATCCTTCATACTGCACTTACCATCGCACTGAACAAACATGATAGAACCAAAAGATAATAAAGAAGTCAAAACAGGCACTACCTAATTAAAACTCACTCAAAAGACTTCTCTTTGACAACTGAATCCTATAAACTATCTCACAAGTAAAACCTTGATTATTCTGTTATTCTGCAGAAAAATAAGATTAGAACTTACCTTTCTGTCACAATTATGTCTCTTCAACACATCCATTTCAAGAGCTTGAACTTTCAGCAAGCATTCTGATTTTTGCTCTTCAAGCTGAGATATAATCTGCTGATACTGCTTGCTTACTTTTCTGACTTCGTTTAGTTCTTTTTCCAGATCAGCATTCTGCGCAGACAAGGTCTCTTTTGAAAGTAAAGCACCCTCCATTTGGAGTAGCTTTTCTTCCAGGGCAATTGCCTTTTGTTTGCAGTCCTCATAGTCAGTCATTGCCTTTTGTAAGCTCAAAACTTTTTCAACACAGGAATTCTTCTCAGCCTTCAGACTCTCATAATCCCCAGATACTGTCTGATATGAGGCTTCTAGTTTTTCCTTCTCAAACCTGCACTCTTCAACCTTGCTCTTCAAAACTGAGACTTCATGCTGCAGGTCTGCTACTCTTTGAAAATGAACTTTTAGGTTGGCACTCTCCTCTCGGAGTTGTTGGTTTTCATAGTCAGAAAGAGTAAGCTTCAATTCAATGTTGTTCAGAGCTGTCTTAAGCTTTTCTTCAGTTGTCCTGCGACTTGCTAATTGCTTTAACAATTTTTCATGGTCAGCAATTGGTATTACATGAATCTTTTCGGAAGCAGAAAGCTCAGTCCTCATGCTTTCTGCCTTCAACTCAAATTCTACATGTAGATTATTAAGCTCACGCTCGCTCAATTCTAATTTCGAGTTAACTTCTTGAAGAGCAAATTCCAATTTTCTTTTATCAGCATTCAGACTGGCAATTTCAAGAGAAGCCTCAGACTCTGCTTTCTCCTTTTCCTCATGAGCTACAGAAATTTGGGTCATCAGGCTTTCCACCTCCTTCTGGAGGTTCTTCACTTCGGATGACATCTCAAAATGCATCTGATTTGACAAAGTCTCCTGCAGAACAAGTTTTTCCTTTTCATTTCTGCATTCCTGAAGAAAGGCCTCCAGTTCAGAATTCAGACTTTTCTCTTTCAAGGTAAATGCTTCCAGTGTGGAATTAAGATTTTCTTCTAGAGCTTCAACCTTTCTAGTGCAATCAGAGAAACATTTTTCAGAATTCTCTAATCGTGTCGCCATCTGCTCACTATGTTCATGCAATTCTAGTTCCTTCTTCTTCAGTTCTTTATTCAATTTCTGAAGAATCTTGCGCTCTTCGCCAAGTCTGAGAATGGATGCTTGTAAGTCCTGATTTTCTGCCCTAAGACATTCACAGTGTCTTTGAGATTCCAACAGTTGATCCTGTTTATCTTGTATATTTTGGTTGAAACTGACATTATGGGCCTCCATCTCAATCTCCAATCTTCTGATCTGATTTTGCAGGTTCATTGCAAGGGACTTGGAGTCCTTTAGTTCCAATCGACAAGACTGCTGCTCATCTCCCAATTGCGTCATTTGAACATCCATAACTGATATTCTTTCTTGTAATTGCAATTTTTCATCTTCCAATAGTATGATTTTCTTCTCTAAGTTGCGTTTTTCCAGTTCTAACTCTGCTAATTTTCTTTCAAGAATTTCCTTTGCAGAGACATGGGAATCCAATCTGCTACTGAGCACTGCAAAATCATTTTGTAGATCATCCAAGCATTTGGATGTGACTTCATGTTCCCTCTCAATTGTTTCATTGTTCATTTCCAGCTGGACCTTTTCTGTTTGAAGATCAGCAACTTGAATTTCTAATTCCCTTTGACGTTGGATGTGAAAATTAGTTTGCCCTTCCTTACTCAACAAATCAGCTTGTAGCTTATCCATCTCAGATCTCTTTTGAGATAATTCCTTCAGCAAACTTTGACAATCAGCTTCTAGTTCTGCCTTTGAAATCTCATGCTGTTGAACCTTCAGGATCATATCTTCCACACTTTTGTGAGCTTCAGTAATAGCATCATTTCTCTTTTGGATCTCAATTTCACCACATCTAATGGTCTGCTCAAACTCAGCAATCCTATCTTCCAAGATGTTGTTCAGCTCAGAGAAATAGTTGAGTATTGATTCAGTGAATACCTTTGAGTTGGATGAATCTTTCTTGCTCAAATTAGCCACATCATCAAGAATAAATTTGCACTTCTCACTTGCATGAGGAGAAACATTAGGCAATGGCTTCATTAGACAGTGAAAAGCCAATTCCAGTTGTTTCAGTAATTCACAGAATAGTCCAGAAGATTCAAATGCAGCACATTGCTCCTCCTCATTCGTCTTTGACTTGAGCTCTGGATCATACATCTGGGGTTCGGTGTCACTCACATCAGACTGCATGCTAACAGATTTCGCTGGCAGCTCACTAGATGTTGAACTGAAAGATCCACATTTTCCAATGTGTATATTCTCCGACTCCTTAATCTTCAACAAAAGCTCCAAGTTCTCCTCAGTAAGCTCATTGCAATCGGTCTCTAGCTCATGCACTTTCTCTCTCAAGGATTCAATCTCTTTAATAAGATCAGAATCACTTCCACTATTCTTTTCCATATCGTCCAAGAGTCTTCCTCTGACAGACTTCATCACTTTTGCTTGTAAATTGGTTATTTCTTCATCCTTAACACTCAACTGATATTTGTATACTCTCTCCATATCTAAAAGGGACTGGCCATTCAAGCTCCGTTGAGTTTCTAGCTCATTAACTTTTTCTTCCAAGGCTTTCTCAAGACGCTGAACATCTATTTCCAACATCTTTCCTGATTCCTGAAGTTGTTGAAATTGGAGCAGTAAGTTCCTATTCTCCCCCAAATTTTGTTCAACAGAACTTTCACTATCAGCAGACTTCAAGTGTAGAGCAGAGAGATTCTCTATCTCAATTTTCTGCTGTTCTATGGTATGTTCCAGCTCTTGGAGAATAGAAACAAGCTCGATGTTTGATTCTTGACTTCTTTTTAGTTGCAGAGATAGATTGGCATTAGATTGTTGATGATACTTTAGCTCACTTTCCAATTCCTCTTGAATTTGAGTTTGACCTTCAGATTGAAGAACTGAATCCTCTAAAGCTCTCTGCTTGAGAGTTGATTCCTCCAGCATTACATTCAACTGTTCAATTTCTTTCTTGAGGCCACTATGCTCTGCATATGCTGCTGAAAGCTCCATTACTAAATCAGACTGCTTTTTTGACTGGCCTAAGAATTCTTTTCTCAACATATCCAGATCAAGCATCAATTTCCTGGCATTTCTCTCCCACATTTTAGCTTCTACTCGGAGTTCCTCAATAGTACCTTCTGCTGCTTCCAGAAGATCTTTAGATCCAGTGTTTCTTGGAGATGCGTTGCCAGACTCTTTTCCACTACTGTGCAAATCCATTTTTGAATTCATTACCCCTGAGTTACAAGATGATTGGCTTGAAAAAGAAGAATCATCAACAGGATAGTTATCATGAGCTGAACTACTCTTCGAGCTAGCTCCAATGTGTCTCTGATGAGTGGTGTATCCATTGCTTTGTAATTTGTGCATTGGATTAAAAGGGTCTCTTCTTTTCGAACCCTCTGCATAGTTCGCATTGTGATTTGAATTCACTCCTGAATAATTTTGATCCTGCTGTGAGGTAAAAAGGAAATCCAGGTCACAGATTAATGACAATTTATTTTGTAGGCACCAGACTCACAGTGATAAGTGACATGCAAAACCCTCTACCAGAATTGTATTGACAAATCAATTTGGAGTGTAAACAATCACCATTTGCACCGTAAGCTGCTAATACTTGTACCGAGTGATCATAGAAGAAAATTTATAATTCATTTCAATCAAGCTTTGTTCCTATGATTCTAGAAGTTTTTCTCAGATTCAAGGAGATGATTCAGTTCTAGCTAATTGAGCGAGAACTAAAATTCTATCTCCGCTACTGCTAATAGTATTCGTGCATTTTTTTTTTTGGAAAATGGAAGTTAGACTAGGGATGTAATCGAGTCGAGTTGAACTCGAGTATGGCAAGAAGGATGCTCGAGCGAGTAGCATTATTGGAACTCGAGCTTGAGCTCGATGATTGCTCATAAAACTCGAGCTTGACTCGCATTGGTTCAAGTCAATACGAGCCTTATGAGCTCGAGTCAATTCAGAAAATTTCATTTTCTTGACAATTTTTGAGTGAGACATTATTGCCCTTTAAAAATTTTCATACAATTTGAAACATTTCGTAAATTCAACCACTTTTTTAAGCATAAGGGTAATTTCATAATAATAATATATTAAAGAATTAAAATTAAAAAGCTCGATAAGGTTCGACGAGCTTTCGAACATTGCATCTGGATACTCGAACTCGACTTGTTCGGCTTATCGAGCTATTCGAACTCGAACTCGGTCAACTCGAGTCCGAGTCAAATTTTTGACCGAGCTGCTCGCGAGCAGTTCGGTTCAATTACAGCCTTAAGTCGAGCAGTTCGGTTCGATTACAACCCTAAGTCAAACTTTGTATTTTTGGAATTCTATTACTATTAAAATTTTTAATTTCCATAAAAAGGCAAAACTTGAGTAAACAACCCAAAAAGAGTCAATATGAGAGTATTATACGTTTGCTGGACAATAATTTAACCCTTTAGGTTAAGATGAAACTTTAGCACTGTGATGAATTAGAACCTAGATGGTAACGTTCTTATGAATTTCCCACATAAGTCGCAGCATGTCCTTTTCGGTGGATGAAATCTTGTCCACTTTTAGAATTGTTTTTTGTACACATCTTTGCCCTCTTTCTGAGGAGAACAGAATAAGCTCTCAAGCAGATCAAGACCTAAATTTCCAAAGGCGCATTCTTAAGCTTGCTTTGTTGCGCCTAGATGATTCTCTTTTAGCTTACTTTTTCTAACATTTCAAGAACCAAGGATTTCATTAATTCAGGTGACTTGTGATTCTAAACTTCTTTTTTTAAGCAAAGAAAGCTTCAGTAATGAAAACAGTTTAATGCAGACCTTGTGATTTTCATGATGAGAGCTGACATCCAGATCTTGACTTGAAGATACTTTACTACTGCGAACAAGTGAATTATCAGCTGTCTCTGACGTGCTGGAAAGAGCTTGAAAATCTACATCTTCATTTTGCCTCTTGAAATTAGAGTTTGGACTCCCATGCCTGGATAATTTGCAGAAAGCATTAGTTGAACACAGAAATAGTGTAGAAGAGCATTCAATGTCACAAGAGACTACAAACCTGATATTTGGTCTTGGAGTTAGGCACTGAATTTTGACCTGTAAAATTCAAAAAGCATACTGTTCTCAGAACCAAAATGGCACAGCAAATCACCTTTCTGTTGTGGAGCTCTGAACCTAGAAGATACCCAGCCACCCAACCACCTGATCTAAAGTAAAGAAGCTAAAATTGATCTTAGTGGAAAGAGAATTGAATATTTACCAAAGAAAAAATGTCCTCTCAAGAAGAAATCATTTTATGTATTAAACAGAAAGGACCGAACCAAATTCACATTTAATAGAATAAGCAGCATTATGTAACTGAGTCACGACCCCAATATATGCCACATAGATGCCTTGATGCATCAAATTGATAGCAAGAAAATGCTACTCGTGGCTAGTCTCATGTGCCTCACTATAGTCTTATTTATGCAAACACTACAATTTTGAGTATTCTACAATATTCTTAAACATCTTTGCTCCGCCGCTCCATCGTCTTAATTCCAGAAGTGCAAAAACAACAAAACCTAGTTGCACTCATCAGACAGTGGTCTATTGGAGAAACAGCACGTAAATACTGAAACTTCAAAAACCTTTCCAAGATGACTTACTGATTCACACTTAATTATGTCAATTAGCTAATAAAGTCTAATGAATTGGAAGGTGGTGGCATTTGGTAAAGGGCAGCAACAACATCCTAAAGAATGATTCACTCTAGCCACCAAATGTAGAGAGAAAGAGGGCTGCAAACAAATCGAGCTACTCGCGAGTGGCTCAAGTCAAACTCGATCAATATCGAGCTCGAGCTGGATCGAGTCGAAATTGAGCTCGAACTCGAGTTCAAAATATTAAGCTCGGCTCGCGAGCTCGAGTATATATATATAATATTTTTTTATTTTTTTGCTTTAATTATATATTTTTTTTTTTATTTTAAGTATATATATATATTTTTTTTTTCTTATTTTAATAGTAAAATTACATATATATTCTTAATATTTTATTATTTATTAAGAAAAAAATATTATTTTATTTCTTTTTTAAAAAATAAAATAATTTTTTTTTATTTTTTTCGAACTCGAGCTTGAAATTGCCAGCTCGTCGAGCTCGAGCTCGAGTTCGAGCTTGGTAAAATTTAGTCGAGACTCGGCTCGATTAGCCCAAATCTCGACTCGACTCGGCTCGTTTGCAGCCCTTGAGAAACAAAGAGCGAGAGAGAGGCTGGAGAGAGAACATGCAGTTTTCTGCTGATGGAGTATCAAAGACTAACAAAAGATTTCAGACATGAGCCCATCTTGGACCAATAATGCTGGAGACTCAAGTCCAACAGCCAGTAAATGGCAATCTGATTTCCCATTTGTTGCCCAGAAGCTGAAGATCTAAACCATTGTCTCTGAACCACATTCTTTTGCAACTGTCTATCAGGTAAACTAAAATAGATATGTTATCATTTGAAATTCCCAAGGTTAATAACAGGATAAGTTTTATAATTCTGTAAGTATTTTCAGGGATCTTTAATTCGATTTTTCCTATAAAAGTCTACTACCAATTACATATAGATGTAATGATGTCAAAGCAAATCCAATCCAGATAAGCTTAGCTGTGGCTACTGCTCTTCTATTCAGTTACGATGCAGCAGTCTATATGGAAACCTGAGTCTAGGATTTTATTTATCCTGGATTTACAAATTAATGATGGATGACTTGCCCAGATAATTAACAAAGAGCCTAATATAACATATACTACTTAAGAACGTGTACAACTCCTTTAAAAAGAATGAGTGTGCTTATGGGACAGAACAAAAATTTCAATATAACTACAGACGACGCCTGTTAAGGTACCTGTAATAAGGTCTCAAAGTTGCATTTTCTCAATGGCAATATAACTGCAGAAGACGCCTTTGAACTCATGAGGCAGGACACATTGATGGTTGCTTCTCCGAGAATGCCAGCTCTAGATGACCCCTAGAGTAAAGCAGCAAAATGAACATGACGTGGATCCTATCAGATTAGCACATCTTTGCAAATTTAGAAGAAGTTAAGGCTGGATAGACATAGCCTTCTCGAATAATCCAAGACACAGAAAGCATTTAGCCTAACCATGGAGACAACAAGCTTGAAGAGGCACTCTTCGGGCTCTTTTGAAGAATCATCTTTCGTTATCCAAACAGATTCAAGAAGAGTCTCTGTCCATTGACAATTTCCATTTCGCACTAATGCTTTCCCCAACCTTGCAACTGTCTTGCCAGATTCCACAGAGGTCATCGAGAGAAAAAGCCTGTCCCATCCTTTTGGTACCTATTGTATGCATTCAAAAATGAGAATGAAGTTACCAATGACTGAAAGAAACCTGCAAGCCAACTGATCGAGTGATGTTAAACACATTAGAGTCATTTATGGAACCAAGGAGGTGAGAGCACAAGGATCACATTAAAGTCACCGCTCAAACATTAATTACCGCTTATTGTTTTGCAAAATCACATTTCATCCTCATCCCTTTAGGCTTTAATCAACAATCAGAAGAATGAGTTTTCCACTAGTGCAGCATCTGGATCCATCAGTTAATTGAGTAGCAAGCATTTAAAGAAAACAATTAAGTGGCCCAAAATCTTTATTCTATCAAGATTGCCATTCGCAGTATGTATGATCAAATTGCTCCTCTGTGACCTTTGAGGATCCTAAAACAATAGTTAAAATGCAACTATGAAGTTTCGTAGCCAGAAACTGATAATCAGAGTGTTTTGATGGAAAAGCAAGCGATGCCCTGACACCAAGAAAGTCGTCCTATTCCAATTTCCAAGAATAATGCATCAAGGGATCAGAGATATTACCATCAACTCAGACCGAGTAAAGAAAAGCAACTCTTCGCACTCTTCTGAAAGAGCAAAAGGTGGAAAACCATCGGAAAGTCAGAGGGATCAAACAAGTGGGATATTGTACCTGAAGTGCTTGGAAATTGGAGAATTTAAAATCAACCCTTTCTCCTGATTTTGATGGCCTGTGGTTTTGTCTCTGTAACTTGAACATTCTCCCTCTCTTTCTCCTGCCCAGTTGGCGGTTGCTCACTTTCTCCTCTTCTCGTCACAACTCACAATGCAATGAGTATTGTAGCTACAGACCTTGAAATATGATCGAGACAAGCAGGCACAAGGGAATGCAAAGTTGAGTGACAGAGTAGAAACGCGATTGAGTGACAGAAACAAAGCAAAGAGAAAGAGAAACAAGAGAAGAAAGGAAAGAAAGAAGAGGGAGGATTGTTACGCTCGTTAGCTAGCTGGTCATTGTTCTCAACTTCTCATGGGGTGTGACATTATTTTCTGTGTACTTCTTGTTTGGCTTTTCATACGATCAACCGCTGTCATGCGGTACTATACTGGTTAGTGTCCGCAAACAGATACACGCACAAAGAGGAGAGAGAGAATTTGTCGTGCACTCAATTCGAAGGTGCAAACTGGCTCATCAAATCAGATCTACGCCCACTCCTCCCCGCAGACTCATTTATTCCTAGGCGTTACAGGTTAATTAGGGGAGCAGAAGCCGAAGCCCAGCACATAATGCGACTTTTTCAGTTTCTTGTTTAATTTTGGATTTGTCCTTTTTTTTTTTTTCGAAGCCCAAAGAACTTGCGTCAATTTTTACAAATCTAACCCCGAGAAAATTTCAAAAGTCGGTATCATTTGAGGTCCCACAGGAGACTTATAACTACCAATCTAAACCCTCCCAACCCCGATGTGGGATACATCAAAGGGGACGACATCCCAAACCTCCGCAACGGGGAGCCTGCTGCTAAGCCCAACTGGAACCCAACCCCCCAGAGCCGATGTTTCTTTCTTTCGAACCCAAAAGAACTTACGTCAATTTTTACAAACTTAAATCGAACCCCAAAAGTCGATATCCTTTGAGGTCCCACAGGAGACTTATAACTACCAATCCAAATCCTCCCAATCCCGATGTGGGATACATCAAAGGGGACGACACCCCAAACCTCCGCAACGGGGAGCCTTTTGGATTTGTCCTTAGTTCGATTATATTTTTGCAGTTCAGCAGGGGAAGGTACGAGGGGTACAATGAGCAGACAAATACCAGCTTCGTTGAAAGCCAGAATAAGGATGTTTTTTTGTCTTTAGCAAAAAGAGGAAAACCGAAAAAAAAAAAACAAGAAGTTGCTTTTTTATATTTAGCACATAGGACTATTCTTATTTTTTTTTGTCATCTCTAGCGTTTTACTGTTGATACTGAAACCATTGACTTGCAGGTACTAATCAAAGCAAGTTGGCTATTAGGTAAATCATAAAGTGCAGATCAAATCGTAGATTTAGGGTTCAAATCTCTGCATCTACTTTAAAATCTAAGGAATAACGCATGCCTTCTTGATCCAGTTAAGTGCTCTCCTAATGTAGGAGTTGCCGATTGGCAAAAATAATTAACTTGTATAAGGAATAGTGCATTAACTTGTACAAAGTACAGCGCATCCCTCCTTGACCCAACTGAGTTTTTCCCTAGTATAGGAGCTGACTATTGGCCAAAAAATTAGCTTGTAGGTACTAAAATTTCCGATTTTTAGTTTTTGCTTCAATTTTTAAAAATTGGTTTTTCCTACCGATTATTCATAAGGAATTTTTGGAATTTCTGTGTGTGTGTGTATATATATATATATATATATATTATAGCGATTTAATGTATATAAAATTATAAAATAATTGAAAAATGTAAAAGTTCTTCTTTAAAAATTGTTTGGCAGGCAAGTTTTTTGTCAAGTTTGTCAACTACAAGTTTTTTTAAAATTTTAACTATAGTAATTTCAAAAAAAATTTCAAAGTTTTTAAACTATACATTTCAAAATATTTAAAAATTTACACATTTCAAAAAATTTTTAAAAAACTTCTATAGTAAATTATAATAAAATTTTAGATAAACACCCAAAAAACTCACTTATCAAACGGCCTTTCAATTGAAACAAGGCCGAACTCCCAATGCTTGCCCCCTCCATTTACAAAGAGACTAAAAGGACTATTATACTAGCTTTTATATTATCCTACATATGGGAACAACAAGTGATGAATTTATGTAGTATTTGCCTATTAGGACAACGTGCACCGATGATGTTAACTAGGATCGAAAATTAACTAACATATTGGACCACATTTTTTTACAAGTATCCCTCCGTCACTGTGCCCTTTGTTATTTTCTTTTCAAACACCAAAAAAAACAAATCTGAACCGTAGGATTGTGGTCAGTTAAAAAAAAATAATTAAAAATCAGACTGACGCTTGTGATTTAGTTTGCACTCATCGTCATTTTTGCAAATGTTTTTTTTCTTTTTTTTTTTTGGAGGGATTGCGAGTGTTTAGGACCCTACCAATTCCAAAGACCCGGTGGGGTACTAGATTTCACCTCGACCTGGCTTTCAAGCAAATACTAGTTGGAATTTGGATGCTTAATTTTTTTTTCTCTGAACCTGCAAGCTTAGGATGTAAGAAATTCAATGCGTAAATGAAGAGCATTGATTTATTTTATTTTATTTTATTTTATTTTATTTTGGACGGGGGTATGAGATTGATTTGTACTCCATCATTCTTTGGCATGCATAGTTTATTGATCTCAAATTTAATGGCGCATGTGACTCCGGATCTTTAATTGGAGCGAAATTTGAGAGACAGGGAAACAAAGAAGTTGCTACTAAGCCCGCTAACGAAGCTCACCCCACTTTGATTATTAACCCTTGTCACTAGTCAGTTTTCTTTTCACTGAAATCGACATATTTAATACTCTCTCCGTCCCACTTTGATAGTCCTGTATTCCTTTTTCATCTGTCCTAAATTATAGTCCATTTTTCAATTGAAAAATGTAATTGTATTTTAATTTTCCTTAAATACCCCTATTCAATGTAAGTAGTTATTATTATAAACTTACCCCATTTAATGAGAGTTGATTCTTGTTTTATCATCAATTCAAGTTTCCATAAAATTGTATCATATTTAATGTAAGGGTATTTTAGAAAAATAGCAATCTAAATTTAATTTTTCAACAAAATTAACTATTTTTTCTTAAATTGTGTGAAAAAAAAAACCAATACTATCAAAATGAGACGAAATGAATATTTAAGTTAACCTCACAGGAGAACCATCAAAAGACACTAATTTTTTAAACCTCCTGTGAAATTTAAATCTTAAATCCACGGACCCCAAATGTGCGACGGGGACGGGGAAACAGGGAGAGAGATGAACTACTGATCATTAACGGTGAAGGTTGATGGCTACGTGTCGGAAATCCTAGGAGAGCAGCTAGTCATACAACTTTTGGCGGAATTTTTAATCTGGCCGCCCAAACACATAACCATCATCATGCATAGCGGTCGATACAAAAATCAGCAGCCATGGGGGGGACACGTGTCACAAACACATATTTGTGAAAATTTGTCTGTCGTCATGGATTGCTTATGAATTTTGTATGCTTCTTTTTTGGTCAAAATTTTTGTATGCTGCTTTCGAGTTGTCAAAATAAGCTTGGTTACCGGTTAGCCAAGTTGTTTGCCTCATCACGTTACTGAGGAAGGGTAACATCATCAACTGCGATGATGCCAAAAAAAAAGTCTAGAAAGCAAAAAAAAAAACTTGAGAAAAATTTGATAGAATATATTATTGAGCGGGCAGAGTGCAATTAAGGTTCAGGAAACAAAAGCTTGTAAACAAAGCTTGTAATATCCGCTAATGACATGACACCCAAGAGAATTAGACAAATGCAGGCGTACTTGAAAGTCTTTGGCTCACTTTCATGTACAAGCCCTGCAAAAAAAAAAAAGAAGAACATTTATTATTATTTAGAACGAACATAACAATCTTAACTCAATTCAGACAGATAGATAGCAGAGTGCAAGCAGAAGATTAAGTTGGGAGGAAGAAAGATTTCTTACTTACATTGGTTGTGTGTATGGTGGCTCCCGTTGTCATGCTAATATTTTGATCTGGGATCAACTCGAAGTTCAGGTGCTGCAGGATGACTGCGAGAGCAACAATCGCTTCCAGCAGTGCAAATTGATCCCCGACGCACTTCCGAGGTCCTCCACTGAATGGGATAAATCTGGCACAAAATTTTTCCAAAACCATCATCATCATCCAAGCACTTCTCTATGGGCCATTAAGGCTAAAATGTACACGACCAAATTGAAAGTGCTCCCAGATGATCGGGTGGTACCTAAAATCAGTATTTGTTTCATTAGGAACTGGGCCTTCCAATTCAAATCTTTCGGGCACAAAATCTTCTGCTCTTTCCCACACCTTTTTACACACAGGAGAAACAAAATGTTAATCCATTCTGAAATGCTTCCTTGTGAGTAGGTCAGCAAAGATGTGATGATTATTAACATTACTAATGTATTTTTACAACTATTGGGCGGAAGGTATTAGCTACCGAACATGGTGTATTTCCTGCACCAAATCTCTTGTATCTCAAAATAGATCAGGTCGTTACCTCACAGTAAGTTAGGCTACAGAAGATAAAAATATATATAACTATACTGGAGGATATGACGAACCCAATGACCTAAATAACCAAGCCTTACCTGGGGAGAGTGATGGATATTGTACACCGAGATCATAACATCTTGACCAGTATTAACCTTGTAACCCCCGGGAAGCACGTCAGGAACCTGAGCTCTTCTTAGCAGGACCTAACAGAATTTATAATATACAGGTCATCAAGCAAAGGTAGTGTTGGCTTGCCACTGATTCAAGTTGAGAAAAGCGGTAAAGAACCTACTGGAGGATGAGGATACAAACGCATTGACTCATTTATGCACCGTGTCAAGAACTTGAGATTTTTAACATCTTCAAATGTAGGAGCTCGACCTCGTAAAATTTCGTCCACTTCTTCTTGTGCCTTCCTCAAAGCGGATGGTGACTGCAAAAGAAGAAAAGTGCATATTCATTCATATAAAAATAAGCGAATGTTTCCATTCTTTGAACCCAATAAAAATAAGAACTGGAAATAATGGATGCTTTCCGAGATCATTTTAGCCTTTAAAAACCAGACAGAGCTGACAAAAAATGGTAAAACCAGCCATATAACTTGAAAAGAAATTTATTCACTTCCATAGTTCACATTTTCAGTCTATTGCTCGAACTGAAAAACTTTTAGAATGTAAGGGAGTTGGTAAGGCAGATCAAAAGGATGATGCATGATAATAACAATAATACCTTACTTAGCAGGTAAGCTGTCCAAGTCAGTACGGAACCAGTAGTTTCATGTCCAGCAACCAACATTGAAAGAAGATCATCTCGTAGCTGAGCCCTGGAAACCTAAAACAAATAACTCAACCTCACTCTTAGGTAAAAGAAGAAAATCGTTGGAAAGCAAAATTATGTCCCTTATAGTAAGCACATCTTCAAGACGAGACTCTGCAAGAAGTAAGAAACATGAACGAGATATAAACTCCTAGACCCAAAAATACTTGTCATTTCAAATTCTTATAGAAAACATAAACTTTCTAAATCAGAGTCAATGAAATGGCCCTATGAGTCTTGGTTAGAGATCAATACTAAAACAAACCTCCTCCCTGCTTGCAAGCAAAAAGCGAAGGATGCTTGGATCTGAATCATTCACGTATTCCTCCTCAGTTAACCTTTCACCCTCAGCTTCTACAATCTCTTTACACTTAGTAATCAGCTCTTCAACTGTTTTCCTGATCAATGTGACTGCCCTTTCAGCTTTTATTTGTCTCGGGACAATTTTACATAAAGCTGCAATCTGGAATGCCAATTAAAATAGGCCAATTATATCATCCTATTAACTCTACAATAAAAGGACACAACAAGAAAACACCAGACAACCAACCTTCCAATAAGGTAATATATCAGTCGAACGCAGCTCTGCTTCTTTCAGTGCTGTATAAACTGCATCAATAACTGGACTATCAGCAGTAAGGGAATCAAAATTATAGTTGAACAAAGCCATTCCTATAACATCAAGAGTTAGTTGAGAGAAATTTTCCTCCATATTAACACCGGTTCCAGTGACTGCATTAGCTCTAAGCTTCTCTACCAATCTCTCTGCACATCTGCAAAAGACCCGATCAACTATTACTGACAAGTATGTCTTGTGAAGTGATGGAACCACAGCCCTGCGCCTCGCCTATAACAAATTGCATTTAATCTCAAAAAAAATATTAACATTTGTTGGCCATGCCAAATGAGAACAATAATCAGCATCAATTCCCCCAACATCATCATAATGAACTTGAAAAATGCCAAATTTCAACACGACAAATGCCCGCGGACCAGATTACTGCTTCAAGTCAGCCAATTGCATGGTATGAAAGTCAATCTTATAATGATTAAAATCAAGCTTGAACCAGACAAGCCATTATTTCTCATCAAAGACATGAGAAATTAAATCTCAATTCTCAAGCATGCAAAGCAGAACAAAGAATGTTTCTCACACTCCTCAACATACTATACACAAAAACAAACACAGATCACACAGTCTGGAAATCCCCACTGCAAAAGTAGCTATTACCTATATAATTACAGCCATACAACATAATACTCACAAACAAATTTGATACAATTACTGACAAGGATGACAAAAGATCACAATTAAGCTCATTCATCCCAAAAAAGAGGGAAAATACATGAAAAAAGAGGGGGGGGGGACAGAAAAAGCTAAAGGTTTTTACCGTCCACAAAGGGCCTTCAGCAATGGCAAAGCCAGAACCAAACAAGAACTCAGACACCTCAGAAACAAGACCCTTAGCATATTTGCCGTAATTCCTCAAGACGTGCTTGGCGATAGCAGGGTCACTGACCACCACAAAATTCCTAGGCCCTGCAGCCAGGCGATAAATGGGGCCATACTCATTCATCAATTTGTAGAGGGGAAGGAAGAGTGCACCGCCCAAAAGTTCAGAAACATCCTCAAGCTTAGCACTTGCAACGGGAATGTTGGAATCGTCATTTTGGCCCAAAGTCAAGGACATTGTTAGATTAGTTAACCAGTCTGGACTAACCCATGACGTGGGCTTAGTAGAGGAGGATGTTTTCTTGTCTATAGAAGATCTAATAACGCGAGGCGAAGAGTATGACTGTATGCAGGATGGACTTTTTGGGCGGCTGTGGAGGAGATAATGAGTGGCCGGGCTAGTGAGGAGAGAGAGAGAAGAAGAAGGCATGATTCTTTCTTCCTTCCTTCCCTCTCGCTCCACTCTTCAGCTATCTGTTCGAGTGTTTGGTTCATATGGCCCTTGACTTCTTTCTCTGCGGATAATGGGTTTGGCAATCTCCAGACTGTTCTGGCTCCTGGGAAGAGAAAACGCGCTCGTCTTCACGATAAGGCGCAAGCAGACTACCAGACAAAATTGATGATGAAAATGACCGGTTCCCATTAAAAAAATAGTATGCTTTTTTTTTTTTTTTAATAAAAATACTATGCTTTTTAGTCAGCAGCACTTTACTAAGGCATAAAGCTGAAAATTTCTCCCAAATAAACATATTAAAACTTGTCTTGAAATAATACCCAAATTCTTCTAGGCTTCGTTTTCAGGTTGATGAATTTCATGAATAATTAAAATTCACCCATATCGTTCTAATTGTTTAAATTAGTTAAGAGGTATTTAAATTTATCATTTATTAATTATAAATATACTTTAAATGCAAAAAAAAAATTTGTGATTTACAAATCCAAACACCTTCTAAGTAATCTAAACGAATGAATTTTAAAATTTTCATCAAATCCCTCAATCCAAGCATAGCTCTGCAATCTTTGTGAGCATTAGAAAGAAATTGATGGATTATAGTTCCTTATTCCACGCCAAAACTATAAGGAAAAATATGAGAAAGGGGCAAATTTGGACTTTGGCTCCTTTCGTCCAGTTGCAATAATTTTTTAAGAAAACTTGCTTCTTAGTGAATATAGATAGGTCCATATGATACATTGGGCCTATGTGGGCTGCGTGGCTTGTGGCTGCCAGAGATGTCTTAGGGCCTGTGGCACTCCACAACTTTTCGTTAGTAAACCGAGATTGTGCAAGTTTCGAAATTATCTCTCGCAAGTGCAAACGCACCATTTTAATTTTAAGTTGTTTTTCTTTTATTTTACTCCAACATTATACATACAGTTTCCCACTTCGTGCCATAATCTTTTCGGGTCCATAAATGATTTTCCTTTACGCATGACCCGACAATTACTTGTCAGTTCCATCTTATAAACGATGAAAAAGGGAAGCAAAAATTTAGCAAGACGAATTAATATCAAAATAAACATAAATTTCATAATTAAAATTAGAAAATGAACTATAATTCTCAAGTTAGAAAGATATTTCATTAATTCAAGAAAATAAATTGAGTTTATTTCGATAAAAAGGTTTATGCATTATATGGGAACTAAACTAGGTATTAACAAATTTAGGATTGTTCATGGTCATGGTGTGCATTTTATTAAAGGGTTATTATCACTTTACCCCCGTAACGTATGGTGCTATGATCAATTTCCTTCTTAACGTTATCTTTTAGTCGCTTTATCCCCAAGATTAATGGTCAAATTTAACGAAGTTTGTTAATTAAAGTAAGAAGACATGTTTAACCATTAAATTTGTTATCACTTTACTCCCATAAAATATAGTTTCATTATCAATTTACCCCCTAGAATTATTTTTTAGGTAATTGATCATACCATTAAACCAACTTAGCAAGTTAAAAAAACTTTAGAAAAAAATAGCCTCCTATTTGCATAATAAAAATACTAAAAAAATTAGAGTGACTTTTCTCATTTTTAGTATCAAGAAAAAAAGTTAAAGTATTAATTTCTTTCTTCTTGATAATTTTATTAATATTAAAAAAATAGAAAAATGGAGTGGGGGAGTGGGAGGGGAGGGGAGAGGAAGAGAGAGAGAGAGAGCTTAATTCTTTTTTAAAAATTACAAATAAAAAATAATTAAATACTTTTATTATTTTAAAATTATTTCATTTTTTTGTTTACTATAAAATTTTAATTCTAATCTCGACAATCTTAAAGTAATATGATAATGTTAGACTTTTCTTTATTTTCTTTTTTTGTAAAATCTAATTTTTTGTTTCCTTCTTTCCTATCTATTTTTCTTTTCTAGTATTAATAAATGTGAAAAAGAAATTTGAGAAAATTCTTTTATTTTTATATTTTTCGATCTCTTAAAATGAAAAAAAAAAAAGAATAACCATTCCAACTTTTTATTTTTAATTATATATAAAAAAAAGGTAAATATATTTAAAATTTTTTGATCATACTAATTAGATTAACGATGAGGTAAAATATCTATAAAATAATGTTAGAAACTAAAATGATTGTATCACTATAATCTAAACAAATAAAGTGATAATAACAATGTAGTAATGTTATAAAATAAAAGGGTATTTTTGTTCAAAATTTCTTAACATGTTGAGTTGAATTACTTATGGGGGAAAAATGACTAAAAGATAATATTATGGGGTAAACTGATAGTAGTAATATAGTTTAAGAGAATAAAGTGATAATAACCCATTATTAAATTGAACAAGGCACACACATTTACTCCTCAAAACAATTGCTTGTAAACAGAAGCAGGGTTTTTGAGTTCTTTTAAAACATGATATCCTTATATTATATAAGATTGAATTTTGGTCAAAGAATAGGTTGAATTTCAACCGCATAAGTGGGGGCTTTTTGGAAATGTGAAATATTGTGCTTTAGTTTAAAAGCTTTAGGTACAACTTAACGAGGCATGTATTTGGGTATATTTACTGAAATGACCTCATTTTAATACATTTAAAATTGTCATCGCTAAGTCATCTGGATATTGATGGAATGTATAATGAGTGCTCATAGAATTATTTGTAATTAAAGGATATTCCAGTAATTATACCAGTACACAAGCATATATGAGTTGTACAAAATGCAAAAAACATTATTCTTTGTAGAGGTATTTTGGTCAAGGGTAAGCTGAGAGAAAATGGTGAAGCCTAACATACAACATAGTAATACTGTTGCCAAATGTTGGTTGCCCATAATGCCTTTTCAAATAATGAACTTAATGGTTTAAATTTGACATAAGAGTGATAAAGCTTTGTTGGAAAGAGCTTTAATGGAGGGTACTTGAAAAATCACTTGTGTAACCGATGAATAGTGTAACTGCAACAAGTGAAGCTTCATTTGCAGTCAATACAAATATTATTGCAATACTTTTGAGCTACCATAACTAATGAATAAGTGTAACCGAAGCAAGTGAAGCATCATTTGCAGTCAATACAAGTGTTATTGCAATACATTTGAGCTGTTGCCCATAATTGAAATTCTATACATATTAAAGAATCTTGACTCACATATATGTGGTCTGTTTTCTCTTTTGTTTAGAAAGGTTTAGTCACTTCTCAACCAGTAAGCAAGGCTGGAATCCTATGTCATTATGCATAACTCCTGGAATTGTCCGTGTGTTCTTAGTACCTGCAATTAGCGATTTTTATCGCATTGCCTAACTACAAGATAGCATTTTATCATAAATTCAGTTGCCCTCTGTAATTTGACTAGGTTGGTTATAATTTTATAAGTTTGGAGCAACAGCAAGAAAGAACTCTCGGTGAGGATTCTGGAATAAGGTTAATTTTCTGTGTTGCTCTGCCTTTCTATATTATCACCGACCTTCAATTTGACATAATTTTATTATAACGCTGTATGAATTGATTGATTGTATCGTTTATTGTTGATTTGGGTGTGAAGTATTCACTTCACTTACTACTAAATGTGTTCCTTATTTTATATTGTATGAGAACAAATTTTTATGCTGTATTCCATGACCAAAATTGCTATAAAGTTAATGACAATTTAATCTATAATGAGAAGAAGCAATTTGGGACTTGCATTCACTTATCCGTCAAATGCAAGTTCGTCAAAAGTACCGGTTAAACATGGGACCACATTAAAATGGATTAGCAGTGCTACAAGCGTACATAATAATGGAGCATTTGAGAGATCTCATGGAACTCAACTCCCGAAGAGCTTGCTGTCATATCAAAGTACATAACTAACTATGTAACCACATCAACATCCTGGAATTCTGGCAGTACAATAAGCGTAGCTGAAGTAGCAGAAAAATCAGACTTTATCTTTCAAGGAACGGCAATAGATGTCGTAATGATAGAAATGGAGATAAGGAAAAGAGTCGGCCCAACCAATTTGGACACCTCATCTTCTATAAAGTTCAGTGAAAGAACCAGTGGTGCAACACCTGCACAACAAAATGACGAAACCACCAAGAAACAACACGACTGAGTACTTAAGGCTGCCTATTAAACTATCTAAATTAGTCTTCTACTATTACTATCACTAAATAAGGGACTACATGGTGCCAGGATTATAGCTATTACTATCTTTGTTTTCAACAATCTTTGCTTTATGGACTATTGCTACTGTTCTCGTTCGACTACTTTATGGACAATTTTTTTTTTTTTTTTTTTGCAATTGTAATTGCTTCTCATTATTTGATAGCTATTTTTTCTCGCAATGTACTATTGCTTGTTCAACCAAAAAACCTCCTTCCCCATAAGTACCAAACACGCGTGGGCACTCCCCTAGTGTTTAAACAATATACACAAATATCAGAACTTGTAAAAATTAGAAGGAAATGAATGTCTTAGTTTATATCTATTGTCGAAAAAGTAGCATGTCATTTAAAGTAAGAATTTTTTTTGACGCATTAGCAGTTAGTGGCGGCAATTGCATTCATTTCACTTAAATATGCATCAACTCTATTAAAATCATATGCATATGCGTGCGTGAACACGAATAGCTCGATTGAAAATTGAAACCAAGCACTTTATAACTTTTTTAGAAAGCATTTTTTTGGAAAAATGGGAGAGTTGACTGCGGTGTTTTGAGCCATTTTTAAAGAAAACTAGCAGAAACTATGAATGCACACATTTAGCATCGTTTGCTAATGGGCTCTTGAATTTGGTACGCCTATTTACTATCCAAATGCATATCTCTTTATCTGCCGAAAAGTTTGCTTTTGCTTCTCCTTGATGGGTTTCAGTTGTGGCAAGTTAAAACTCTGAGCAGCCAGAATAATAATAATAATAGTAAAAGCATCACAATTTCTATAGACAAAACATACACACGTACCATAAATTTAATCAATTTCTAGGTCGATGTAGCAAAGCCATGCGGGAATTGATAGAACATATTCTTTCAGATTGCTACTGCAAAATCCATAACTGGCCATTTTTCTGTTTGAATAATTGCTGACAGCACACAAGAAAATAAATTCAGGTCGGTATATCTGGCCATTCTCATTT